AGTACAGGTAATGCATCTCTTGGGGAATCTCTTGTCATCGTGACTTTATCGTCTTTGCCCAGATAAATCGACCAACAAATAATTTTCAAAAAAGACAGATGAAACTTTTCAAGAATGTTTTTCTTTTGTTTCTAGAACGATATTTACTATATACAAAATAATCAATCATTTTCATCGTACTTGTTTATTAGGGTGTCTAAAATTATTTATTTTAAATCCTTCTTAAATGGTCGTATTTATTTATTTTTTTTAATTTTCATAAACTCTAAACAAATTTCAACTTAATCCAAGACTTTCTTAGGGCGCTTCTTATATGCCTAGCCGCGTGCTATTGTTAGTATTGCCACCCTATACACACGAATAGCCTCCACTAACAAGGAGACCACATGAGATGCGGGTCACCAAATGTCCTGAAAATTTTTTTCTGGTCTGCTGGTACCTAGTAATGAAGCCCCCTATGCTTAATTTGATCCAATAGGCCTTAGGTCCTATTTTAAAATTCATTTTCTAATTTTTTGAAAAATCTGTGTGATTTTCTAACTCGTTACAGGACATCTTAGGCGAAAAATTGCATAATGCACAAGTCTTAAAATTAGTCAAAGAATACATTTGAATTTTTCCAGAATTTTTCCTTTCAAAGGTCTCTGAAATTCTTGAGAAAATCGTAAATCGCGTCAAATTTGGGCCTTTGAATATAGGTGATAGCAGGTCTCAAAAATTCTGAAAAAATTCAAATGTATTCTTTAACTAATTCTAAGACTTGTGCATTGTACAATTTTTCGTTTAGGATGTCCTGTTACGAGTTAAAAAATCACAAAGAATTTTCAATAAATTAGGAAATGATTTTTAAAATGGGCCCTAAGGCCCATTGGATCAAACTAAGCATAGGCGTCCTCATTATTAGGTACCAGGAGACCAGAAAAAAATTTCAGGACATTTGGTGACCCGCATCTCATGTGGTCTCCTTGTGAGTCAAGTCTTACACTCTCTAATCGTTACCAAATTCAATGATTGTCTATATTTCTACCCCTTAGTCCTTCGTCCACTTGCTTACTCTTCGTAAATCGATTCGTAGCGCATGTTCAGTGCACGCTTTGAAGTGTCACAAAGTAAACAGACGAGGATCACATCGACCGCAGCAAGAACTTTTCGTCGAAAAAATAAAATCTATATTAAATCATAAGCAATTGTTTGTTGTGCGCGAGTGCACCAAACTATGGACATATTTTTCGCCTATGAATCCGATGTAAGGTTTCCATGTCCAGGGTGACGAGTTCGGCCTGACACATTCCCACGTGGCCTGCAAGCGTGGCCGGTACAGGTCATCCTCGAAACAAGTTAGGTAACGCGCCGTTGCACATGGCTCTGTCTCGTGGCCGCTGATGCTTGGTCGAATCTCTCCTGAGAAGAGACGCGATTCGAATTTAGCCAATGCAAAGGGATCAACACTCCTGCATATTATAAGTAAAAACCACCGCATAATGACTTGGCAAAGATTTTATTCAGGCTTAGTAACGACAAATATCACCACTTAGACTGCCGGATGCTGATCTGTCTACCTTCGTTTTCTCTGTTGGTAGTTATATTGGACCGAGATTAGAATCAAGGCAAAAAAAAAATTAAATCTAACGGTTGGTGCTCCGATATAATCGTCGCAAATCTCGAGAAAAAGGAATACAAATTGGACCGAAGCGATTCACCGATGATAATAAAATTGTTCTTTAAGTGCAGATCATTCAGAAAGTCGGCGAATCTTAGAAAATCTTGGTACGAGAACAAAGAGTTCGCGAGAGCTGCGAAAAATATAGAGATACATCCAGAGCTTTGGCTCTACGACCTTATTCAGTTACGACTCAAAAATACAGTAAAACAACTCACATACACAGACAGATGACATTGTGAAACTTCCTCGAAGGATTGAAAAAGGCTTGTGCTTTGCATCCGTCTGAGATGATATCTATAGAGAATTTTTACAGCGCTGGCCATGATGATATTCGAATATTCGAAAAAATTGGGCATCCAAAAACACTCGAGTAATTCTCGTGCCTCGACTAGATCTCGAAAAATTGGGTATCTGCTCACACCAACTGAATTTCTACTATGCTAAAAATAAATTTTAATAATGAACGTCACACAAAGTGCGAGAAACGGTACTTTCGATTCATACTGCCAATTGCGACTGATCGAAAATAGGATTGATTGATTGATCGATGATAGGACTGATTGAAAATAGGACTGATGAAAAATAGGATGTTTCAGATTTTTAAATTGAAAATTATACATTATAAAATTCGAAACGCCCTATTTTTCATAAGACTAGTCAATTGACTCTCAAAACCAAGGACCTCGACTCTAAGTTGAATTTAATTAATTTAATCACTCATATCAGACATTGCTTTATTTTATATTAAAACCGCTGCCAATTTATTAGCAAAGAGCTTCCTCATAAAAAATAATATTAACAAAAGGCATCGGTTATTAACGTGAAAATTCGTATTTTTAAATTTTGATTCACTGTCTAGTGTCCTAAGTGTCCGACCATCAGGACCATCAGGACAAAAGGCCGGTTGTTAGCCAAAAGGCCGAGAAAACAAGAACTCATACATTTGTTGGTAATTCAATGTAGTTTCCAAATATGTAAACCAAATTGTCCTACGACGTCTGGTTCAAAATCTCGTTTTCGATCCTATCACAGAGCTTCCTCTATGAGGAAGCAAAATGTCAAATATCAACTTCTTCATTCCTTCATTAAACTCTTAGAAAAAGAAATTCTTGTGATTTTATTTTTTTTTTTTTTTTTTTATTATTTCATTTGGATATTGTCTAATTCGACCTTACGTATAGAATTGTCTTAGTCATTTTACGATTAATATTAGAGAGCCAAGACCTACAAGCCTCAAAATCGCGGCTGGAGACGCAGGAGGACGAAAGAGTACTTGAAAATCTGGTCTTACCCGACCCGCCCGAATGATTCGGGCTTATCCAAGTTTTTTGGTACACTCAAAGCGCCGAGGCTGATCTGAATTAAATTAAACTAACTGTGTAGCGAGTTTTTCGCTTTGACTCCGGGTGTAAAAGAGTAGATATCCACACGTGCTACAATACCAAATGTGTGTGTTCCGAACAAAATTGTATCCCGAGTGAAGACTTTCTATGAATTGTTCCAAAATTTAGCTACTATATGTCGAAAATAAAATTTTGCCGGCTTAGCTTGGATTTCTGAGCACCGCACAACCACTCTTATCAAAAACGCCACACTTTTTGCCTGGTTTAGACCAAAAAAGCATAAAACTACCAAAAATAGCCCTTTTTCGACTTTGTAAACGTATGACATTTAAGTAAATAAAGCTGTTTTGTCACTACTTTTGTAGCTTAGAATTTAGACCGAAGTATTTGGACAATTTTCAGCAAAACACCTCTTGTATTTTCTTTTCGGTCATCTATAATGAGCCAGACATTTTTGAAATATTTGCAATAAGCATAAATTTCGAAAAATTCTAACAAAATTTGAAGACCTGTTTAATAAAAAATAATTATAAAATAGAAATAGATAAATGTTGTTATTTTTTACTTTACTTCATAACGAACCACTCCAAAAAAAATTTTTTGAAATGAAAAAAATCAGTTAAAACGTATCAATTATTTTAGGATTTCCAAAAATATACTGTATTTTCTGTAATTAATTTCCCATTTAAAAATATTGAAATTAAAAATTAAATTCAACTTTTTACTTAAATAAATCAAAATGAAACAATTTATTTAATTTTTAATTGACTTCAAATAAGGTAAGGAAGGGTGAAAATTTAATAAAAAATGTCTTAAAATTAGCCGAAGGATACGTGTGATGGACTTTTTAAAGAAAATTTTAATTAAAAAATATTGTTGATATTGGGCAAAAGTAATTTATAGAACACTCAATTTGACTAAAAATCGGACAGAAATTGAAAAAAAAATTTAAAAAGGAAAAAACAAAACTAACTAATGCCACGTTGTTAAACATGCGACGAAAATAATTCCATGTTCGAATCATAATTCTGAATAAATAATATTTATTTATCGTAAAAGAATTTTATGTTATCTTTATAATGCATTTACACTTTCTTATATATAGATAAACTTTTCTTTATAATTTTTTTGACAATGAAATGTGTATTACAATAAAGGCCAGGCATAGTCTTTCATAAAATAATAACAATAATAATAAAATAATAATAATAATAATAATAATAATAATAATAATAAATAATAAATAAAACTCTTTGAGAAAAATTTTAAACGAAATCAAAAATATATAACTACTATGAGATCAAATAAATTTTTTGTACATAATTGGGTGGAAAAATCGTTAAAGAATGATCAGTTTACAACTAAAAAGCTGACTAAACAAATAAAAAATTACATTCGTTTTAGTCAAAATATAGGATTACACGTTAACTGAAAGTGAATGAAGTATTGAAATCTAAAAATCTATTATCGACAATAAATTAAGGCGCAAAAGTTCAAATTATAATTAAATAATACGTTTAAAAACTTTTTATAAACATCAGACAGTTTGGTTCTTCATTATGTTCAGTACATTCATTAAAACTGTTGCAAAAATTATATTTTATCTAAATTAATTAGATAAATCAAAATTCTATTCATAAAGATTACAGGCATAAACATTATTCAAATTCAATATTCTGTTAACTTAACGGAAGTAAAATATATTTTATAAACTAAGTGAGAATTAAATTCATCTTGTTGAGTTCGCACTCAAATTTTTCATACATGAATCTTTGATTTTCCTAATTTTCATAAAAGTGGAGTAACAAATAATAATTTTATACTCGGAACTGATTAGTAAAGACTAAAAGTTGATATTTAATTCATTTCATGATTTCAAATATGAGAGTAATAGTATTAACAGGAAATGACTTCTTCATTATTTTACAAATTGATTTCAAATTTTGGCCTTAAGCAAACATTGAAATTTAAGTTCAGCATTAAAAAAATAAAATTTCTACATTTTTTAACAAAAATTTTAAAACAATAATAGAACATTTCTCTCGGAACATTTCATTTTCATAAATGCCTAAATTTCCTATAAAGTACGGTTAAAATTAATATACAATTTAAGAGAGTGAGGCAAAGGTAATTGATGTATTTTTTCTTTCATGTATGATGAAAAAGCAATACTATCAACATAACATCCACTGCACAAAGGCCCATCAATTGAATCAGGGACACACCAAGATGCAATTCCTCTGTTATTTTTTTGAAATGGATTCGCTGAACTGCTACGTTTATGCTTGATTGGAGTGCAATGAATAAAATCCGAATCTGAGCTATGACTAGCTTCATCATTTCCATTGCCTACATCTTCTTGGATACCACTATCTGATGCATCTTTACGACTACGACGAGGTCGACGTTGTTGTGGCAGTTCTATAAAATTTGTATTTGACGAATCGTCTTTTTGCTCATTATTATCGTCTATCTTTTTCGAAGTTGAAAAAGCTCTAGCTTCTGACTCTCCTTCACTGTCACTCTCACTGATATTTGAATATGCTGTCAAACCTTAAAGAAACATGAATAATTATAATTAAGATCAATTACTTATATTCTAATAAAATGTTTAATTAAAACTTTCAGAAAAAAACAAATCCATAAATGTTTTTTATCCAAACTATTAACGATAATGGAGATGAAGAATGAAATAGTACAAATTGTAAATTGTAAATTGTAAAATGTTATTAGATATAACTGGAGAAAAATATATGGAAAGTTAAATCAATGAAAGTAAATTCTCACTTATAAATCGTAAAAACGAAATCTCACCAGAACTTGTTAAGCCAGAACCCTCTTTCATATTATTAACGCTATCAGAATGAGACTTTTCACATGCTGAGTCCGAACTACTTTCAGAGTCATGTCTATCTCGTTCACTGCTACTGACGTTTGTGTCTCCATGAGTATCTTCTTCAGTGCTGGCTGATTCTTCATCCATTGGCCATTCATCATCTTCATGATGATGTATATCCTCTGTGTTTTCATCATTATTTTCATCATCATCAGCTTGTACCACAGCCCGAACATATTGTAAAGTAGTACGTAAATTTTCACCAGGAACTGTATCTACATTTAACAACAATCTAGTTCTAGGAACTCTGTTTTCTAGACCTACATCATCGGAAACATCTAAACCATTTTCATTTTCTTCGTAAATTGGTATAACAAATTGACGCACTGCTCGTCTTGATGAACTTGGTTTAACACCACACATTGCAATACATTTTCTAGTTTCTAAATCTGCATGCTCTAGCCAAACATTTTGACGTAACCTTTGGCGAATATTTTCTCTGCATAATTCTATCAGTGGTAAAGGATCACATTGAGCTAAATACAAATTATTAATTTTTGTTATTCATAGTAATATTTTACCAGCATTTGCTATACAACAATCAAATTTAATTAAAAAAAAAAATTTACTTAAACTTACGTAAATTTATGAGTTTATCAGTTGGCATTGGTGCTATGAGAATTGCAAATGATGCTGGCAGTATACATTCCTGATGCCATACATTTTCTTCAATTCTCTTAAATTTGACTAAATTATCTTTGTAAGGCATGACTAAAATACCCCCAATTTTGACAAATTCTTTTATGACTGGAGCATAATTTTCTGGACAAGTTGCACCACAATAAACTCTATCATATCGCCTAGTAGGCATTAACTTTAAGCAATTCCCTAGAGTTTATGTATAAGCAGAATGTTAAAAATATTAATCAAAATTTTTAATTTAATTTAATTTATACCTTGAATGAAAACTGGTTCGCAGAAGTCAAACTCATCAAGTGCAAGAGATTTTTGTTTAAATTCTTCAAGTCGATCTTGAGAGTATTGAATGCAATCTTCATGAAGCTCAATCCCATGATTAGTACCACCTTTAGCTATAAAACAAATAATTAGTCCAAGAAAATATTAATATCTTATACTTACCTATCAATAGGCCTGCCATTGTGCTGAGGTAACCAGTACCTGAACCAAGGTTCAAAAAACTCATGCCTGGTTTAAGTTTGAGTTCTTCCAGTACTGCACAGTAAATACATGGCGCTGATAAATGTATGTTACCATGCTTCCAAGCGTAGTCTTTATAAGCTACATCACGATGTGAAGAAAGAAAGTAGTCGCCTCTGTCTACAGCTCTAAACACTTGCTCAATTTTTTTGGTTCTAATGTAACCAGATTCTACCAAACTATCAACTAACTCATCATTGTCTTGGCCATGACTGAATGCACCACCCATCTTCAATTGATTTTTATTTGTTTCAAAAGTATATTGTATCAACTGGCATTTGCCATCTTTAAATCACTAATGTAATTTTGCAGCATTATTTTTTGGTTGTTGTTGATTTCCTAGGATAAATAAAAGCAAACAATTTTGAGAATGAAATATTACATTGCTAATATAATACACAAATTCAAAGTTATAAATTATAAACTGTTTTATATTTTATTAAATTTTTGATTGTCACTTATATCTTATTTATTTTTCATTACTAAAAATTTTAATACAAAATTTAATTTGTTTTATATCAATATAAATCATTTATATCGCTTTACTTTGACATGGTTTTTAGAATTTTGATGTTTCTTTAATTATCAACTATAAATAACAGCTTTGAAAAATCAATAGAATGAAAAGCCATACAACATCAAGTTTTCAAATGACATGATAAATATAAAAAATTGGTTCAATAATGACACTATCAAATCATTTTAGTTTTTAATACGTAGTTGATCAAAATTTCATTATTTATAGACACCCAAAACAAGGTAAAGCAAAAGTAGAGCAAGCAGATGTACATTGATAGTAAAACAGTGTAAATACAGAGAGATACCTTGATCAGCTGACATAAACGATACATGCAGTTCTGTCCAATTATTTATTACATTTCAAATTTTTTTGTACTTTAAACAAGCAGTCAATAAGCACCGAATATTCATACTCATTTGCGTTTAATAGAATCGTCAATAAGATAGGTCTTTTTTTGACACTTACACGTAAAAATTCATCCAAATTCTACGCTTAACTTGATAAACGATTGTAGTGTGTTGAAAGTATTGTTTACCCCACGATTGTTGTCATTACAGATATAATCCATTAGCTTGATAAGGTGAAAAATGAACTGGAGCAAATCAGCAAAGTAAGCGCATTGTAGAAACAAATTTAATCAACGCAGAATGCAAACCTGCAACCTTGGATATGAACATCACAATCACAATATCAGCTTTGCAAATTTTAAATGCACTTTCTCCAGGCAGATGTCGCATCTGGTTCTATGCAATACATATAGAATATACTTATATTTATGTCAATAAAAGATATATGTATAGTCAGCTCGGAGAGAATCTTGTTTTACGGATTCTCTCCGTGAATCTTTTAACTTTTTACTTCAATTCTATTTTGGCACTGATTGATTAAGTATATTGATTATACAATAAAAAAAATAAAAGATGTGGTCTCAAATGCTAATATCAGCTTTGTAACAATTTAAAAAATTATTAGCAGACTATAGGGCGTTTTCCAATTGTCACGAAGTGGTCACTTTATCGAACAGCTGATTTGCCTGGAGGCATAACAAACCGCGCATCCCTATACTTGACGTGTTAAATGAGCTTGTTAATAGTATATTACTGCCCTAGGCCGGGAAAAATAGAAAAGTCCCAGTGCACGTGAAATAAGCGACCGAGGCGAAGCCGAGCCGCCCCGAAAATAGCAATATCCCGTTTAGCGCAGCGGCCGGGAAGTGCTACTTTCGGGCCGCTGGTATGTAAAAGTACTTGTAGTTAGTTTATCATCAAGTAATAAAATAAGCAGAAAATATCACCATAAAGCAGAAATCATCGTGTTTATAAATATCTAAGTGGTTTTAGGCTAAAGTTTATCGTTTGAGAATGAAAAAATATTGAAATCTCAGCGTTTTTGTGTACAAACTCAGCTAATTTTTCCAAAAGAGCGCGTATTTCAAGTGTTTCTGTGCCATAAGTTGACTAAATTAATCACATATCATGAGTGAATATGTTAAAACTTTGAGTCGTAGGATGAAATTAAGATATTGCGATAAAGTGACGTGCATTAATTCGATCGACCCATACACACTCACAAATGAACACTTTTTAAATGATTAACGTACATTACCAAAAGTTACTCTTCTGGACATTATGTCCAGATACCCCATAAATCTAGCAAACTCACAAAGTCCCATAATATCATTTTACCCAGAAGACATTACAGGTCCTTATAAAATAATCGTCCAAAGAAAAAACGAACCATCTATTAAGACCCAAAAACCTCTATATCCAATAGATATAGCAAAAGCTCTAGTACCAAAATATGAACAAAAAGCATTCCAGGAGTTCAAAAAAACAGGATATAACAGAATGATAATCATGACAACGCAAAGAAAAATCGCAAACGAACTTATAAACCTAGACTTCTTTGAAAAAAATAACATGCGTGCATACATCCCATATGCATATATTTATAAAAAATGTATATTACACGGAGTCCCTATAGATATTGATATTGAAAATGAAAAAACATGGAAAGAAAACCTTGAAATTTCCTGTCCTTTTTCTAAACCAAAAATCGTTAATGTAACAAGATTTTACAGACAAGAAAAACAAAACGAAACAACCATCAATCGCATACCGACCCGCACCATACTGATAACCTTTACCGGTCAAGCTTTCCCCCAGAACGCGTACTTCATGAAGGTAAAATATGAAGTAAAGCACTATTTACCAAAAGTAAAGCAATGCACCAAATGTTATAGATACCACCCTTATAAAAATTTCCTATAGGATCTCGCGAAATTCCTACAGGAGTCCTATAGGATTCCAATAGGAATTTCGTGGGATCCTATTGGAAATTTTTATAAGGGCACCATCTGAAATCATACTGCAAATCATTGCAAAGATGCATCTACTGTGGTGATAACAGTCATAATAACACAGAATGCCCGGTAAAAGAGTCCTCAACGTGCCTCAACTGACAAGGCAGACATCTCCCTACATATTCTGAATGCTCAACCAAGCAAAACGAACAAAACATTCAAAACCTGTCAAAACTACACAACCAAGACCCAAAAACAATCAGACAACAAATGAAAAATATCATTTCAAATAAAAAATAATTTAGATGGTCAGAACATCCAGAACTAGCAGAAATGTCAGAAAACGAAGAAACTCACCAAACCCACCTTACCCAACAAGCATTAAATAGCCAAAATCTGAACAACTATAAAAAAACCAACCCAAAAGCCTCGTATAGCCAAGTCCTAAAACATAATACAAATAACCGCCCATCAAAATCCACAAAAAAAACCTACCAAGGCACCTCCAGCTCCAGCACAGATGTATCAGATTCATCTGAAGAGGAATTTTCAGAATTAACTAACGATAATACAAAGAAATCTCGCAAAAAATGCTTGAGATGCAAAAATATAAACTCCAAACAAAGTAACGCACCCACTGAATGCAAAAAGCTAAATGACATTGATGAACTAATTGAAATCATAAAAAACACTACCCAGGAAGATTTTAATTATGTATTAGAAAGCTTAAAAAATCATAAATCAAAAGAACAAAGTTTAGCCACAGCAAACACCATAAATAATAAATCAACTACTACACAAGACTCCCAGAAGGGAAATAGTAAATAGTCAATAATACAATCAAAAAACTATAAGAACAAATAAAAAAAATCTATTGATACTTAATTTAAAAAGAAAAAAAAAACAAAAAGAATGGAATTACAAGGATTAAAAATTCTACAATGGAACTGCCGTAGTCTATATAAAAAACTACACGAACTCAAAAATATTATAGATATAACTATGATATAATATTATAAGCTGAGACATGGCTTACCAAAAAATACAAAATCAATCTCCCAAACCACCACATCATTCGGAGGGACAGAGAGAATGATCAAGTTGGTGGGGGCGTCACAATCATTATAAAAAAATCAATTTTATTTAAACAAATCAAGGATACATATCACAGGAAAAATTACATTGATACTCTAACAATTTCAATTTCAATAAAAGATAGGGATGGGGTAGACAAACAACTCGCCGTCACTTCGCTTTACCGCTCACCTCACTATGACACTGAAAAAAAAGAATGGTCAGATCTTTTACAATCGCACAAGAACTTTGATTACATTGTAATAGGGGGTGATTTCAACTCCCACCACCCGGCATGGGGTTCAACTGAACCCTCTAAGTCTGGAGAAAATCTTATAGATACTATCTCTAATCATGAAATTATCGTGATCAACGACGGATCACACACCTACTACAAACTTATAACATCTTCAGAAGACCCATCAAACAAACATGTAATATCTTCAGCATTAGATTTAACGCTGATTTCATCAAGCATTTCTAAATCAACGAAATGGCGAGTCACCGATGACAAAATGCACAGTGATCACTTCCCTGTAGAATACACAATTACAATCAAAACAAAAACAATTCCAACTTTCCACACTCATAAACTTAAACTAAAAAAAACAAACTGGAAATTATACCACAGCATTCTACACAGATTCATAGAAGACAACCTGGAACAGATAAATGGACTAAATTTAATTCAAAAATATGGAATCATTATTAAAACAGTGAAAATTGCCACAAAAACTTATCTAAACAGTGATAAGATGAATGAACTGCTGAGCAAATGCCTACTAGCCCCAGACGAAAGCACCCTTCACGAAGAACTTGATAACTCGCAAGATAAAAAAATTAATCTAAGCAAACACAAGTCAAGCACTCCTCCCTGGTGGAACGAAGAATGCATCAAACTAGTCTCCAACAGACGCAAAGCAACCACAGAATTCCTAAAAGATCCATCCATAGAGAACCTAGAAAAATTAAAACAAATTAAAAAAGAAACAAAGAAAACCCTTCAAAAAATTAAAACTGAACAATTTAAAAATTTCATTGAAAATAAAATCTCTAGAGAAACAGATATAAAAGAGGTATGGAGAACAATTAACAAATTCAAGGACAAGAAAACTCTACCTTCAATGGAAAATGACATATCTTTAATTGAAAACTCTAGAAACTTTGCCATCCAGTTCTGCCAGCAAGATGTAATCCAAATACCCCCTCAAAATGCCCCAAATGACTCTGAAGAAACAGTAGGAGAATGTGAAAGTTACCTGAAAATGCCTCTCACAATAGAGGAACTGGATGATGCAATTGACTCAGCAAAAAAAAACTCATCACCTGGATTGGATCAGATAGAATATATAATGCTTCAAAACTGCCCTGAAAACTTAAAGGAAATACTATTATCTATAATAAATGAACATATAAATAATAATACCTTCCCCGAAGACTGGAAGTCTTATCTCATCATTCTTCTCCCAAAGGACGACCCAAAAAAATTCAGGCCAATAGCGCTCGCCTCATGCATCCTGAAAATCACAGAAAAAATTATTAATACCAAACTATTACACCACTCAGAATCAAATCATATTCTCCCAGAATCACAACATGGATTCAGAAAAGCAAAGTCATGCACTCTTGCATTAGCTAAATTAACAACAAAAATCTACAAAGCTTATACTAACAAAGAACATTACTGTTGTGTCATTCTAGACATCAGATCCGCATTTGATAACGTATGCCCAGTAATCCTACAAAATATCCTGAAAGACCTAAAAATTCCAAATAAAATTAAAAACTTTATAAACAATCTAGTAATTAACAGGAAATTATACTTCAAAATAGCAAATCAATTGGAAGGTCCATACCTAAAAAGCAAAGGCACCCCCCAAGGAAATGTCTTAAGCCCTCTAATATATAACATATATATATATCAAATTTACACAAAGTACTAAGCAAAGACGTAGAGGTATCTCAGTATGCAGATGACACGATGATTCTCTGCAAAACTGAGAATATAGACCAAGGTATAAACATTCTGGAAAAAAATCTAAAAAAAGTAAAACAATTTTTCAATAGTTTAAAGCTTGAACTTTCCCCAGAAAAGACTAAATTTATTATTTTCTCAAAAGAAAATTATCCACTCCTAGAAAAGAAAATATTAAACTTTGATAATAATACGCTAAAACCACTAAAAGTGATCAAATACTTAAGAATGATCATGGATCATAAATTGACTTGGACACCACATATAAATAATATAATAGGCAAAGCCACTAAACTCACAAACGTCCTAAAAGTACTAAGATCTACTTGGTGGGGTGGAGACCCCCACTTGCTGTTAACCATTTACAAATCACTCATAAGAAGCACCATAGAATATAACAGCTTTATCACATATAGCCACAAACACTCCCTAGCTGAAAAGCTACAAAAAATTCAAAACCACTGCATAAGATTAGCTGTTGGATACAGAGTATCCACAGCACTAAACGTCATCTATGCAGAAACAAACCTACTTTACCTCAAGACCAGGAGCAAACAATTAGCTCTCAAATTTTTATTAAAAGTGTCCTCTATCAGCAATAGCACTCTGATAAGAGACATCAATGAATTAAAAAACGATATTAGTAGATCAGATAAATACCAAATAAAAAATAAATACCCACTAATAGAATCTCTGAACCAAATACAAACTCTAACAAACAACAGCATAAAAACATTTACCACACCACTACCATATGAATACAATTACACAACACTAACATCCAAACCATCAATAGACACTTCAATAGGCAAATTAATAAAAAAATCAAATAACCCCCAAGAAGCATTCGAACACCACACAAAAAATAAATTTGAAAACTACATCAGCATATACACTGATGGATCAAAAAAGGAAGGTGCAGAGAACGTGGGTCTAGCTATGCTATGCCCACATTTCAACTCTCACCAACAATATAAAATAGATAACAAAGCTTCCATATTTACAGCAGAATCATTAGCAATTCTCATGGCTGTAGGATATGTCCTATCCAATAACATCAGAGAAGCTGTCATCTACACAGACTCTCTGAACGCTTTGACAGCCATTGACAACTACTCCCCTATAAAAAAAACAGACACCTCTTACATTATCCTGGATGTTATATCTCTACTCTCCCTAGCAAAGAACAAGGGCATAAAAATCAGGCTAACGTGGATCCCAGCACATGTCAAAATAACACACAATGAAGCAGTCGACACATTGGCAAAGGAAGCAGCGAATACAGGAACACAACTGTTATTTGACTTGCACCACACAGACCTGAATGAAGAAATCATAAAAATAATAAACCAAGAAAACAAACAGCAACTTCTTAACGAAGCCACATTCAAGGGTGTACGCTTCTTCACAGATTACTACAAAGATAATAAAAATAAGCCTTGGTTCGCCAAATCAAAGTATGATAGATACCACATCACCACAATCAACAGATTGAGAGCCAACCACCACTCACTAGCAGAAAGCCTGCACAGAAAAAATATAATAGATACACAGAGCTGTCAATGCGGATTTGAGATCCAAGACATTGACCACATCCTATTTGAGTGCCCCCTGTACTCAACAGAAAGAAAGAGCTTTAAAGCCCAGTTAAAAAATTATACCATAAAAAATTCCACCACCGAATTTAATTCATCCACACAAATCCTTAAAGAACCAAATAATCCCCCAGCAAAAATTATGACAAACTACTTGAAAAAAATTAAAATTCCCGTGTAAAGAACAAATAAATACATATAAATTAATAAATTAAAAAATATAATTAATTAAGTAAATAATAATAAATATAATAAAATAAAAAACCTGCTCCTTTCAAGCGTTCTCAACACTATAGGGCACAGTTAATCGCCTTGTAGCCTTCAAAAAATACCAACAGTTGTCCATGTAGTAGGACACTGTTCTCATACTTGCACAGTAGCAGTTCGGGGGCGCTGTACAGCGCTCACAAGGCCAAAGAAAAAAGAAGAAGAAGAAATATGATAGTGTCCACACAATAGTGTATAGGTAATTAGTTTTATCTTTATTATCTTTATCATATACATAGCTGGAATAATTATTTTATTAATTTAACAATTCCAAATAATACTTTTTACTTTCACTGATCGATTTCTACTTGATTGAACATTGGCTAGTTCATAATACCTAACCCTCTCAAACATCAATTTTTCATACTCCACATTGTGTCAATTATAATTTTTTATCTCGCTGTGAGGACCAAAATATTATTATGAAAGAAATAGAAAATATAGCATTTGTTACGTGTATCTTTGGTTTTTTATAAATCATTGAACACTAGCTACAAAGTTACTTCGAAATATCCGACTTACTTGTAAGATAATTGTGTTCTTTTATATTATTACAAATGTTAGGTTGTTGCATTCAGATCAAAATAATCAAAATTTAGAGTAACATCAGTAATTTTGTGACAATCTAAAACTCCGAGCTTGATTCGATTTTTCACATTCCTAATAGTTTTCACGAGTCTCGTTTCTTACATCGTTCTCGTGTCGAGGGGATTCTTTTAAATTAGTGTATAGTTTGTGGCACAGGAGCGCTAGATACTCGTTCATGTTCGCTTACGTGATATAGCTCTTATAGCTGCACCGCATCGTCGCTTCAGTTTAGGTACTGTACTAGAAAACAATTTATTCTACTAAAAGCCGCAATACCTTGAACTTCATTTTCAAAAAAGCAATGCAAAAATGCATACTGATTATTTTAAACTTTTTAAACTTGTACTTGTGTAAAATAACTCGTTTTACTTTTTCTTCAACCATCTCGTATAATTGAGTCGAATGCGGTAAATAGAAGATTTGATTCTGTGGCCGTGTAACTTGTAAAGTATCGAACAATTGTAGCATATATTCATTAAACACTATAGGTAATAATAGTTGTAATTGTTTATACTATAAGGTACTGTTTTATTTGCTTCAATACTTTAAATATATTAAGCTAATATATGAAGTTAAAACCTTGATCAACCAAAATGATGGAGAGAGTCATTGCTTCTTACTTATTGATCGATAAAAATTAGTGCTGCTATTCCTTAAAAACACAACTGCATAAATAACGGCTAAAATAAACGAAATTAGTTATTAATTATTAACAGTCACTTATATTAAATTTGGGACCTTAACGAGCAAAAATAATTATTATCACGAGGCTTTTTTCACGTAGATCGCATAAAATCCATGCATATTATCGCGTATCTTTCAGTTTTATATAACTTGTAAATTGATTTAATAATGCAAACGGTATTTTTTGTTAAATACTTGTGAAATGACGTATGAAATTTCTTTTTATTTTTTCAATATTAACGTTCTACTTTAATTCTTATTCAAAGTTCGGATAAACGTGTTCCAATAGCTGCGGGAATTTTTAACCTAATTTTGAAAACTCAGGCACTTTGATATTATATAAATTTAGTCAATTAAACTATTTCTTAAGAACTTTCTTGAATTTTTTATGATTAAATATTTGTTCGTTGTTAGAAATTAATTTTTTTAATCCAATAAACGTATAAATTAATTCTTTTTATTCAAATGATTATCATCATAGCTGGGATTTCATATGAATTTTATATTTTGTACTTTTATATGAAATTCATTAGTTCAATTTGACAATGTGCTGAAATATAACAACTTTTTCATTTGCGATTAACTAGTAACATGTTTTCAAAATTTTTTGCAATAATTTAATTATAAAAATATTTTCATTCTGAAAGCCTTTATTTGTTTAGGAATAACCAGAAAAAATATTTAATTAGTTAATATTCATTGCAGCTCACACTTCCAAGTACAGGTTTTATCATAAAAGCTTGAAATATTTTACAACTTATTGTACAGTAATCAAATTAATCCTGTGCAATTGACGTTTATTTATTAAACAATTGCACTTTATGAAATATAAAACTTGGAGCTCAGATAATGCAAATAGAAACGCCACAAAAAACTCCAACTATACCATTATTAGTTCATCAATCGGGAAATATTATTAATTCTTCTCAAACAATTATCATACCAATAGGTATTATTTATGAATCTTACTTTTTAAAATTATAAACTTCGCTTTTACAATTTTTATTTTTTTATTATTTTCAGTCAATTCAATACATCCATCTCAAATTTCAAGGCAACAATTGCTGCTTGCTCCGATAATCAAATGTTTGCCAGAAAAACTTGCAAATTCACAAAATAATCATCAAGTAGAATCAAACAAGTTGAATGTTGATGGAAAGATAATCTACAATAAAGTATATTCAGTTTTAAGAGAATCTAAATTTTCAAACGAAGCAAATTCAACTACAAAACTTCATGTGTTATCTCAGATGAGTTTATTAAATAGTTCAAGAAACATAAATAACCCAAACAATATGGAGAGCATAAAAATAAATTCAAAAAATCCAGATTCTGCAGTTATAACGCCAATAATTGCTGATAAATTGACAGATACAGATAAAAATCATTCTCAAAGCACTGGAGAAAAGAGACCCAAGAAGCAAGTTTTTCCCAAAGATGTTTCAGATTTTGCAAGATCGGAAATGAAAAACAGTCTAGACTTAAATAATGAAAACAATGATTTGAAGTACCATAAGGTGTGTGAAGAAGAAGTTACATTACTGAAAATTGTTCCTAATGAGGAAAATATCATGTCCAGTCAACATGAATCGAGTACTTATACCCCAAAATTAGAGGTAAAAGTTGAATCTATGGATACTGAGGAACATTCTTCAAAAACCTATCAAAGTGTAGGTAATAAGGAGAATTCTAATGCTATCCCTAGCCCTACTCACAGTAATTCTGGTGATAATATCTTCTTGACTTGTCTTGGCTGTGGATGCCATGGACTGCGATCAGAATTTGTCAGCTATGAATCATGCAGTCCTAATTGTTCTGAATTCATTAAAGTAAAAAAAAGTAAGGAACTTCAGAAGAAGAAAAGTTTAGAGTAAGTATTAAAACATTTCTAATAGTTTATTTCATTCAAGTGCAAAAAATAATTAATTTAATTTTAATAGTACTTCTGTGCGCAGAAAGAAACAGTCTAAAGTGCCTAAGGAAGAGATAAAAACAGAAGATTTTGAAAGCTCTTCTAATGAAAGTGAAAAAAGTGCTATTAAGTCTGTGAGTGAAGATGAGTCAAATGCATCTATAATCAGTGGTCCAGACCAAGAACGTCAAGCAATGCTTGAAGCAAAGGTATAAAATATAGCTTTATGCAGATGCTAATTTAAAAATATTTTAGTTTAATTAACTAATATAACTTATTGATGCATACAGTGAAATAACCATTGCTTATTTTCAGTATCCTTATTTATGTGGAAAACAAGGCTTTTCATGGACTAAATACCTAGACTATTGTAAAGCTAAATCTGCTCCAGTCAAGTTATTCAAAGATCCATTTCCCTATGATAAAAATAATTTTAAACCTGGTATGAAATTAGAAGGTATTGATCCAGGACACCCATCAAACTACTGTGTATTAACTGTTGCTGACGTGATAGGTAAAGTTTATGAAATTTTCAATACTTATTTATTAGAAAAAATTTAATGCTCACTTGATTTCTTATTATTTTTTTTTTTGGAATAGGTTACAGATTACGTTGTCATTTCGATGGATATTCTGACAAATATGATTTTTGGGTAAATGCTGATAGCGCTGATATATTTCCAGTTGGTTGGGCTGAAAAAAATGAAAAAGTATTACAATTTCCCAAAAATATGGAAGACTTTAATTGGTCTTCATATTTAAAAAGTTGTAAAGCTGTTCCAGCACCAAAACATTTATTCAACACCAACAAAACAGTAAGTAAATGTGACAATTAAACTTTTAGCATTGTTACATCAACTTTAATTACAGATTGAAATTTTCAATTTTCAGAGCAATGTACCAACAGGATTTAGAGTTGGTATGAAATTAGAGGCAGTTGATCGAAAAGATTCATCTTCAGTTTGTGTAGCAACTGTTGCTGGAGTCATGGACAACCGAATTCTAGTCCATTTTGATTCGTGGGATGATTTATATGATTATTGGGCAGATGTAAGTTCTCCTTATATTCATCCAATCGGATGGTGTGGCCATAATGGAATTAGTTTAGAACCACCTAATAGTGAGTATTACGTTATTTATTGCTCAAGTTCAAAGTATATCATTTGATTCTAATTTATTGTAATTATAAATAATCTTTTAAATGATTATAACTTCAATCTCTGGTAAAAGATATTTCTATATTTCCAACCAAATTTTACATAAGTTTCATCTATCTAAAAGACTTGTTTTTATTATACATTGCAAGAAATCAATTAATTTAATTAAATTGTATCCATATCAACACTATAAATAAACTAATAAAAATAAAAATTTTTTTATAGCCTATAAAGATAAAGTATTTTCATGGAATGAATACTTGAAAACTGAAAATGCTGTTGCTGCCCCAGCTAGAGCTTTTAAACAACGTCCGCAATGTGGGTTCAAGCGCGGAATGAAACTTGAGGCAGTTGATAAGCGTTGTCCTCAATTTGTTAGAGTGGCTTCTGTAATAGACGTAAAAGATCACCTGTAAGTATTCAAATGAATTAGTTAAATGCTGACTGTTTCTATGTGTTTAATTTTCATTAATTGTGAAATATTTTTTATTATAGTTTAAAAATTAGATTCGATGGTTGGCCAGAGAACCATGCCTATTGGGTGGATGATGATTCACCTGATATTCACCCTGTGGGATGGTGCGCAAAAACGGGGCATCCATTAGAGCCTCCTCCTTTGAAACGTGAGTCTTTTCCTGGGTTTACATTCATGTGATTAATTTGTTGAATTGTTAGCAATAAACTATGAGAGAATTTATTCGTATCAACAAATTATTTTTCATAAAATTTCAAAAATTAACTATTACATTCTGTTTTAGATGAAGATTATCTGGTGAAACCAGAATGTGGTATATACGGCTGCAAAGGCCTTGGAAATATTAAAGGACCTAGATTTACTAAACATAATTCGGCATCAGGTTGTCCATACTCACCCAGTAATCTTCATAAATATAAAGGAGTCATTGATAGATTAGCAACAGATGATGGACCCAGTCATGAATCAAATCAAACTACAAAAACTGATAAAACAAAAGCTGAAAAAGAAGATAAAAAGTTAAACAATCAAAAAACTAAAGTGGACAATCAAAAAGAAAAAGATTCTCCCAATAACAATGAATCGTTTTCCAAGTAAGGATTTCTTGCATTGTATTATTTATCATATAAAATGTTGAACATTAATTGACAAAACTAATCTTTTATTAATTTTCAGGAAAAAAATGCGTAATGGTAATTTGAGACTAAAAAGAAAAAGGTGCGTACAAATTACAGTAAACTCACTTTAATTGAGTATGTCTTTCTTAAAAAAATGTTTTTAATAAAATCAAAATTAATGTATTTTCAGTGGAAACCTTGATGATATGGACCTCGAAAATCCTTCTAAAAAGCCAAAATCTGCATCAACGCCAATCATGTCTAAAAAATTCCGTGATGATTTTGGAGAATCTATTTATAATCCAAAATACCCACCACGACCTGTCTCACCTCAACTATCAATACAACACAGCAAAACTCTTCATAATGAGTTACAAATACCAGAGGGTGACCCGAGAAGGTGGTCCGTTGAAGAGGTAGTTCAGTTTGTTACGTCTATACCAAATTGTAAAGATTACGAAACAAGTATCAGAGCAAACGTAAGTATCAAAAAAATTTGCATACTATGTTTAAGCAATTTGTTTTTAATTGATTAAAATGCATTTTTTTGTTGTTTTTAGAGCATCGATGGGGAAGCCTTATTATTAATGACACAAGACGATTTTTTCACTTACCTTACTCCGAAAGTTGGTCCATCAGTCAAACTCCATAGAGTCATTGTTTATTTACGGGAAAAAGCCCTAACCATGTAAAGAAATTTGATTTTTTCATAGAAATATCAATGAAAACATCAATATTAATATTAAATGAATCCATTGCTATCATAATAAGAAATAAACTGGCTAGATTTTGTAAATATTTTTAATCTAGGTCAGAATAATAGTACTGTCTTCATAACAAATATGTAATATTAAATTATCTACATAAAAACAAAGTTTGTGACCAGTACATTTCATTTACGTTTAGAATATTTGGTTGTATATACAAGTATTATAAGAGCTCATTGAAACATCAAACACTTCTCTTTGCATTGTCCATAGCATAATCATGTAAAATTGTAAATACTTTGATTCAATCATATACTTGTAATTACAGTCACTTAATTACACGATGTATTACTTTAAATGAATTTTTTATGAAATAGTTACATTACAAATGTCTATGGTTATTCAAAATCATTATGCATCATAATTCACTTGATTTTTTTCTTGTCAAAAATGTTATTCATAAAATCTGTCTGTCGGAATCAATTTATTGTTTTCATTCGTTAGTTGTATTTGTCATTCGAATGAAATATATTTGTATATTTGAATTGTTTACATTTATCAATAAAAGTAATAAAATTGTAATTTTATTGTTTTAAAATATATCTTTACCCTGTTTATAAATGTAGGAATAAACATTTCTTATGAAGAAGCTTAAATGCAATTGGTACATAAGTTTCGCAAAAGCAAAGTTGAATTGACAATGACGAAAAACGCCCATATTCGTAATTGCTATGATTCAGTTAATCAACATGTGCGTTATAGAAGAAAGTACTCTTGTAGTGAAATTATCAATATTGGTAATCGTATCTCATAAAAAGATGGCAAAATTTGTTTTCTCAGTCTGATCATTGGGAAAAAATTTATCCAAATTTCAATTACATTGTAAAGAAAATTTTCATTAGGATCAACTGATCCACCAAAATAAAAAAAAGAAAAAAATTTCATCAATCAATCATAAACTGCGGCACGCGAGCGTATGCAGTGCGATTCACGCGTAGAATATTCGGTCCGCAACATGTAATATACGACGTGCGTGTTCCTATCAGCTCTCCCTGCCTCTCGCTCCTATATACGTACTCCCTCCTTCGCGAATGTTTACGCCGGCGAAATGCGGCGAGCCGAGGGCAGGCGAAGCTTGGCATGGAGCCGTAACGTGCGCGGATATCAGTCGGTCTTGGACCGTTGGCGAGTCTCGGTAGCTCGTGTGTCTTTGCGCCCGGCTTCCCCTCTACGAACGCATGCGCCAAATTTCGCGACCAACCGCTCCTCGAATTCACCCTGCCTCACCGCCAAAAAATTCAATTTATGGCTTCGATTGCGTCCGTTGACTTTCAAAGTTTTTAACCGAAAACTATCTTTGTGTGGCTACCCGTTTGCGACGTTGTTTTTCCATTGAAACATTAATACTGTTGCCGGCGAGCGAGCTGTCTCCGTCGAACAAGTGACAGTTGAGCAGTAGTGACAAACGAATCTTTGAGTTTTTGTTCCGATTCGTCCGATGCTGTACAACGGCATCGAGTTCTCATTGGCAGCAAGGAAAAAACAGTGCAATTAGTGCGCCCCTGGGCAGTATCTCGTCAGTGTCTCGTGTGTCAGTGTAAGTGGGTGTTCGGATCGCCATCATTGTCCCGCGGAGTGTTTTCCAGCGTGTTCCCGAGCGAATCGCTCGTTTAGTGCTATGAACAGCTCGTCGTCGAGCCACGCAGCTCTCGTCGGCTCGAAGCTCGACTGCAATCGTCTCGGATAGGGTGCGAGACGCGCGCGCGAAACTGCTGCTAAACTCGATAATAGCCTTCGGTGCTGCTGTGGGTGGTCGTCGGAGGTGGCGTTACAGATTGGGCCGAGCGTCGACGTTCATGCAGCTGAACGGCCTAATGCTTGGGGGATGTTGGGCCTGTCGGTGCAGCTTATGCCAAAGCAGCAGCAGCAGCAGCAGCAAGATCGGCAGCGCCAAAGCCAACGCGGGCGCCGAGGATACCGTCCGTCTGCAGAAGGACGTCGAGGCCGCTGCTCATGCGGCCGGCAGCATGACTCGCTCGCCGGGTCTGCCGGCCCGCAGACTTCTGCAGGCTCTTGCGTTGGTGCTTGTCACCGCCTACGCGACTGTGCTCCTTTACCAAGCTGTGACGCCCAGACAGGTATACACTTTACTATTTCCAGTTGTATAGTTGCAATTTTCATTTCAAGTGTGTGGACGTGTTTATTTCAAATCTTACTTTCAATCCTACTCGGTTTATTTCTTCATTCGCGAAGACTCACTTATGTCACTTATGTAGTTTGATGCCAACTACTATAATAAAATACGCATCTAAATTTTTTCTATCCATTGTCAACTTAATCCAAAATAGTTAGTAAAATAGTTCATTACACGCTTAATGTTTTCACCCGAATGTAGTAAGAATTACCTATGTTTTGCACATGTTGCATATACTATTTATTACCGCATTATGAACGAAAAATCAACAAAATCATTATGCGCGCAGGGTAGTTTTTACACAGAGAGAGGTGAAAATAATATAAATCCTGATCTAACGATTTCTATGAAATAAGTAATTATTAAATACGCATGCTTGTTTTCGAACGAGTTATACGTTACTCTTTAATTATTAGTGTAACCCATTTCAGTTTTAGCCGTTCCCGTTAATTTTGCATAAAACTTCAATTTTTTCAAAGTTAAAAAATAATCGAATCAAGCTGAATTAAATTTTCATTCTACCGCTGCAAAAATTTTAAGACCGAATCGAACAGTTGAATAATAAAAACGCATGTGGCCCCTCGTAAATCGGTGAAATATTAAATTAAACGACTGTTTTCTATTTCAAGAATTGGCACTCTGTATCGCTAATAAATCGATACCATTGAAATTTTCAGTGGACCGACGACGGAGCAGTCGTCGATGTGAACACCGTCGGCGGTGACGTAGCCACCCTAGAGATTCCCTCCCGACTTGGTGGTCGCTTTGGCATGATAGCCGCGGCCGTGTCCACGTCTGCCCTGGCTCTGCCCTCGAGAAACGAGGAAAACGAAGAAACTACCGATTTGATTCCTTCGGTTGCCACTGCTACGATGGCTCCCTACACGACGGGTCTCGATGACATTTTCATCAGTGTCAAAACGACCAAAAACTACCACGAGTCCAGACTGCAGGCCATCATCGATACTTGGTTTCAGTTTGCAAAAGAACAGGTAATTATTCTTTCCTATATTCATCGTACACTTCGGAACGTTTTACGAAGCAAAGTCTTGACGGTACTGTTGATCATTCATACATTTCAATTATATTTTATTCAGGGAATAAGTTGATGTGAATTCAGTTATTTTTCAATATCATTTAATAAGATTAATATCAATTCACAATATGCTATTCAAATAGCATATTTTATTGAAAAATTATTACGAGCTAAAAAATCAACATGTTACTCTATAATCGTGTTTGTTACCATATTTGTATTTGTATGAATGTTCAACTTGAGCTTAGACCAAGCTCATAAAATATTGACGCTAAAAATCATGGATTCTTCGTCAATAAAAAGATGAAAATACAGACTGCAATAATGCAATTTACGCGAATAAATCTACAGCGTTAATATGGTTGAAAATGAATACAAATGGATAAAATTCTTTGCATGACTCTTTTTTCTGCTCTTTTGATAAAATATGTGATTGAGCCATGATATGACTCGAGTACATTAATTCAATGTGCGTGAGCAACGAGTCAGTTATGATCTTTGTAGTCCGAGGGAAGAAATTGTGCGAAAACGAGGGTTTTTTTTCGTCCACTTGCCGTACTTATAAATCGACGTTGAGCGTTCCCACGCGTGCAGGGGTATGTGCGGCGCACGCAAGCCAAACTTTTCTATATACGGTACGCGCGGACCATGTGAGAAAAAACGCAAGAAAGAGCCAGCCAACTCTGTACTGCGTGCGGACAATGGCTGCAGCTCATATGGGATCGACGATAAAGTGTATCTTCCTACAACTGAGTCTTTCTAGTCACTTTTTTGTTTGTTTTTCTTTCGTCGAGCTAATCGGTACCTTTTGAACCCCAAAAAGCATCCACGGTACAGTAATCGGGCGCTCTTGATCCAGTTATTCATTCGCTATGTATGCGAAAATGGACCCGTTATCACTTATTTTAACTGGAATGTTGCAAAGTATTATTTGTTGCAACGCTCGCGAAAAATGTTTGATTTTCTACGATAGCTCGCTGATAACAAAGTTAACAGACCCGAGTCGCATACTCGTTAACCATGGGAGCAGTAGTGGCAGATCCAAGTCGAAGCAAACTATTCCTATCAATGGAAGCTCCTCCTGCAGATGGATTCGTTAAATTCGTTCGATCAACTATTCGATTGCTTGGTGGTAGTAGTTTGCCAACCGGCTACCCAGTTCACTTGCGTCAGATAGCCTAATTCTCAAGTTTGCGTATAATTTCGTTGTTGACTCGCCATGCTCTTCACTTTGATTGAGTTTCAAGGCAATTCGGGCGCTTTCCTCGGGCGTGCATCCAAGTAGTCGGCTTTCGAGTAATTTAAATACATTATCCCAGTGTCATTCTGAAAATTCGAAGCATCTCTAATAGGAGAGCAGAGTACACGGTACACTAGCCGGACGACTCTCGATTAGAAGCGTTTGAAAATTCATTAACAAGTGTATGACCGAACGTCGAGGCTCACTCAAGTATACCTGTCGCTATAGGTAACACTCATCAGCTTCGAAGCGCTTGCCTTACGAAAAATAATTAATGGCGGCTCGAAAATGCCTAGAACACTCGCTCGTTCGCTTCTATACACGTGTTGGTGCGTTTGTGTGTGTGTGTGCGCGCGCTTGCACGCCCGCGTGAAGCGTTATACACCAGCGCCTACATATGCACACCGATGCACACAATTTTCGAATCGTGGGAATATCTCACGGCTTTTTACCTTCGACCTTTCGGTCTTCTTTTTCTTGTTGGCGCGCGTTAAACTTGGCGCAGCAACAACCCCCCGCACGCGCGGATCGTTGCATTTGGTACTTATGCACTTATAAAACATCGCTCTTTTCTTTCATTCGTACGCGGCACAAGCGCGCAGCATAGCATGGGCAGCGCGCAATGACGAGGTTTCATCCTCTCGCTCGCTCGCTTGCCTTATCCGCGGCGTTGTGCCTCATATACTCGCTCGCCCGCACGTATACATATTTGCGCGCCAATAATTAAGTGATGCGTCGAAATCTCTTTCGCGCGCGCGAGAGAGAGAGAGAGAGAGAGTGAGAGCGCTGTATAGCTGCAGCAGAATGCAGTATGCACTGTATACGTATGCGAAAATTGAATGCGAGAAGGTCGTGCGCGCTCGGCTCGCTGCCCTATAGATCGATTCAACGCAGCCATACACGTATGTAATGAAAGGGTTCGCCTTCCTCAAATTGAGCCAAGACAACTGCTCTTTTGCCAAGATGTATATACGTTTCGACGTTTCCTTCGCGAGTATATGTACTGCGAGCGAGGTGTTGCTTATTTATTATATGATGATTTGTGCTATACACACACTAGCAGTACCTGGCAACACGTATGTGATGCAACTTTTCTCGAACGAGATAGCCATCGGATGATTTGTGCTATTAATTATGTATTTAACTTGGTTGATATGTTATTACGTTGCTCGTTCCGTGGCCAATTGTGCCGCGCGCGCTTGTTTATTTCGACAATTGCTGGGTAAGCTTATTCGATATACCTTACTTCACCTTCGAGTAATATCATTTGTTGAGATTGTACCGTCGATGTGGTTATATAGTTTTATGTGTAAGCTCGATGTTCGATGGAATAATGATGGGATAATGAAAATGGTGCGTCAAATTATCACATGGAAACAGACCTGTCCATATGTAATCAGGACTTTGTACAAATAGTGTTTCAAAAAAATGCAAACCACTGAAATATAGAATTTCCTTTTTTTTCTTTCCGAAAGTAAAATTAATGAAAGAAGTATGATAAACAACTTTAATTTTATAACTTTATTCGGTAATTATTTTTTGCTCGAATAAATAACATTCAAAAATGGAAGATTTGAAAAAAAATGAACGCTTTACATTAAAATTTACAAGTGCATTAAAAAAACACAGTTATTTCGAGTAGGAATGTATAAGGAAGCTGATTTCTGAGCACTTGATAATCATATTCATCCCTTTTCTCGCTACTGTATGGCTCAGCGCAAAGTCATGGCGCAAAATTAGCTCGTGAAGTTTTGTGTTTGTACAGAAAGACGAAACTCGAGGGCCACATTTTTCAATCCTGCAAAAGAGACCTAATAAAACTTGACGCGTCGGAATTGAATTGATCAAATTCTGTTTACACGTTGTGTTATAGTTTATTTTTCTCGTACGTAGTTAAAACCCATTCAATATTAGGTTGTTTTGCAATTTTTTTTCAATTCGCAAAAGCGAGCCAATGATATTTCGCAGAACTGACATCAGCAGCAGTTGAGAAATACATTATCGAGTTTTGTTATCGTTACTTCGTTCCGAAACGGCAAATTGTTCGTTTTGCGCGAAAAGAACCGCGCGATACTCTTTGTCACTTTCTAGGACTTCGTGCTTGAGCTTATATGTGAGTCAACGCGGTCTCTCATTCACACACACACGAGAACGAATGTAGGCGATGTTTCTACTTGGACGCTCGAGAAAATATACAGCTGCTATCGACGTACTAAATCGGATGTATCGAGTCTTAAACTCCAGAAAGCCCAATCCAGTCGACGCGAAGGAACTCGCGCGCAATTTGCGCCCCGCGCACACACACCTCTTGCCTTCGTGTATACCTGTATATAGCCTCGAACAATAATTGGGCAATTACCGTGAAACTTTTATTTCGATACCTCTTTCTCGTCTGTGCGAGCTGCTTGTATACATGTACGGGTAGACGGCCCTCGCCCTTACGCGTATCTTTTTCTCCTCGATAAGCCTATCCGTTCACGATATAATCGATGTTTTTTTAGCGCTGCATGCGCTCGCAAGTAAGCAAAGAAAAATCAGCCAAGCTCGCGTATCGTCGTTCTTTTTTTTTTTTTTAAGATCTCGCCGCATTTCGTGTGGACTGTAATAATACGTTGAATAATTTGACAAGCCAAAGATACACTTGTCGGGATTTATCGGTTTAGCTTCAAACTAATTGTCAGCTTTTTTTTTTTCAAAATATATTTTCCGAATCTTGAATTTATCGACCTCATCGCTGTACATTGGCTCGAACGACCAATGTATCGTCAACGCCACGGAGCTACGACTGCACTTAATTTGGGAAAAAAACAGGAGGAAGAAGAGCGAAGCGCAGCTCGCGGTCGAAACGCCGGCGAAAGGCTTGAAAGATGTCGAACTAACGAGCGGAACGCATCTCCGCTCTGGGTATTGTGTCGATCGCGCGCGGTCCATGCCACAGAAGCTGCGGGAGTCGATTTACGTTCGCTTGCTGTTCGCTGGTCGGCCCTAAAAAATCGCGCGACATTGACGAGTGGATGCAGTGTTGGGGGGCGACAGTCGAGCCGGCACTATATAGTGCGCTGCTACTATACACGCGAGGGCGAGTGATCGCTCGCGACTCGCGACTACAATTAACGTCGTTAATTGTATGGACACGTGACGTCGCGCTATCGAGGGCTTCTCTCCTTCATTTCTGTCCGAATCCGCGTTTATCTCTTTCTGTCCGGCAAGTGTACGTAAAAGAGAGAGAGAGACCTCGTTAGCGCGAAACTCTGACTTCCTTCTTCTCTCGCTTTCAATCTTTTTGATGCAGCCAACAGCAGCAGCAGCGCCGTATGGTGCGCGGCGCGATGCATTCATGAATCTTTGCACAGCTGCATAAAGTACACAACTCTCCTCGTTCAACTGCATGATTCGCTCTTTTTAAAAAAGAGAAGCCCAAGTTTTATTTCCGTCCTTTCGTGCTTTGCGGAAAGCGATAACGATAAAGAGGCGACATTGCACTCGCTTTTGCATACTTTCTGCTGATGTTTTGCCTTTTGAACACGATCATCTCAGTTGCAACATATTATTTTCATCGATGTTTTTGTCTCGCTGATATCGCAGATCATGATTTTATACATTTATATTCCGCTCTGATCGGTTGCTCTGATTTCCGTCCGTTCCTGGACTTCATCTCGCCTGATTGGATTTAACGTGAGCCGCCTTATTGCTCGTTCTCCCTCTCTCTCTTTCTTTCAACACGGATTTGATACAAGCCTGATTCATACGTTATGCTTATAATAAAAGCTCGCACGGCTTCCTTTATGGGTCGCAACGAGTCTACTTAAGCTAGCCGACTTATCGATGCCGCTGCTAAATTTCGAATAGGCAGATTGTAATTTTAACAAGGCTCAGGTGGCTCATTGTAGCTTTTATTTTGCAAGATTGATTCTCTGCAAAGCTTAGGTTACACGGCCAACCGCAGCTTAAAATATGTGCATTCTTTTGAAAACTTGGCGAGCATCGGCCTGTTGGTGCTCTCGGAGTATACGAGAATAAGAGGTATCTCTTGTATACGCGCGATGTATAAAGTACTGAAAACTTTTGTGATTTATTATGCAGAGCGAGTATCAGCTATAGTGCAACTCCGAACCCTCGCAGCGCGCACTAATTATTGGCAATTAAAAGTTTGAAATTAAAAATTCCTTATCAGCTCAAGTAGTTTTTATGCGCATGAGCTGTAAAGTTTTTACCGTATACATTAATCTTAATTACGATTAGAATGGTCTACGCATTTCTGATGCCAAAGTAAAACTTGAACTTTTTGAAATCCAGTACTTTTTAGGACTTTGAAGTTGGAAACAACATATTAAGTTCAATATCTAATGTGTACAGTATGTACGCCTAACCGTGAAGAATACAATCTACCACAAAATTTTACTTTTTGGTCGCGGTGCTTCGAACGAAAAGAGTATGAGGATTAATTTCAGCTGCTTACCTTTTGCAAAAGTGGAAATTGGTGAAACTCTACTTTTGGTCAAAATTCTACTCTGTTCGAAAACAGTACATTCGCTGTTTTACACTTTATAAATTTATAAATAGTAATTCCAGCTACGCAAAGTATACTTTGACAAAAAGTAAACAACTGAAATTACTCTTTATAAAGATTAAAGTGAAAAGTTTATTCTTTTTGGCTTCGTTAAAGGGTAAATTCATCAATTTACTATTTTTTGTGGTAAATTTTACTCTTAACGTTGCGTAGAAAATACTCATCACGCCTAATGTGCAAAATATTACCCCTCATAATGTGTGTCTGAAAACACACACCACCTGTCGTTAAAGTCGCGAATAAAAAGTAACATCGTCAAGAACTCACTCTCTCTCTCTTTATCGTTTGTACTGGAGCGCGTCAATAATTGCCTCAAAATGGTTTACTGCTGCACGGACGACATTGAGCATCACAAGTGCATCTGCAGTTTTCTCCTGCCCGTGAAATGGGTTTTTCGTCTCGATATTCCGTGTGAAAGAAGTTGCGCAATTATGTAAAACGAGTTCGTATCGAGGGTATCGTTTTCGCAGAAAAATGCATCATTTTACTCTTGCTCGCGCTAAATGTTTTGAATAAATCGTAATACTACTAATTTCAGATCTATCATCAACATGAAGATATTTAATTGAACTTTTTTAATTTCAGACATGGTTTTTCACCGACAAAGATGATCCTTACTTTCAAGAACAAACAAGTAAGTACTCAAGTATAATACTTGCACTTTCCTTAAAACTAGATGATTACTTCGTGCAACTATATTCGCCCTCATAACGACTCTCTGCCAAGCTCTATAAATCCTCATCACATACGAATCTCTACTGTATCCTTATCCTTTCGATAGAATTTCGTAGTTTGTCTCGGCTACTGTAGAAGCGTGATTTATTCGTACACGTACATATAAAGAGATGACATACTGACATGAATCTCGAATGAGCTCAGCCGCGCGCGCGCTTAGTAACGCTCGTTCCTATGTATGCAGCGTAGTAATATACGGCATCCTCGCGCGAACGAATAAAGAGGAAAAGAGAAGCGAAGAGAGAAAGAGGAGCCAATTGCACGGAGGTGCATTCATCTCTCGGGGAGTATATATATCGAGCGCAGCAGCAGCAGCAGCAGCAGCAACGGCAGAGCACGCGAGCCTTCGGGCACTCTGCGCCGCTGCTGCTGTTGCTCGACATTTGACCTGCACTCGCTCTCTTCTCTGTGTTATACATATAGACACGTGCACGTGTGTATACACGTCGAGCCTGTAATAATCCACCTACTAGTCTCGCCGTGCTTTCCGTGCCTTTGCTGCGGCTTGGCTCGTGCGCGCCCTGGGCCTAAAACTCGTGCCTGGCGCTGTTTATACGCGTGAAAACCTTTGACTCGCGGCTCGGGGATTCCTCTTCGCGTGTACGTATACGTATATATATGTAGTCATTATTACAGTTTCGTATCGCGTAATATTCTCGCCACTGCCGTTGCGCCGCAGTCGCTGCGGGCTCTGCTCGTGATTTTGCGCGTTTTGTATTCATATACGAACTGTACACTATAAGCCAATGCGAGCCGAGGATCCGGTGAACGTAATAAGCAATTGATGTGTGTGCTTGCCCAGATTTTAATGAGGTGCGTACGTACGAGGATCGTTGAGCGCAGTTTGAATTATTTGCGGTTGGTCAAGAAAGAAGCCTCGACTTGTCCGCGAGCCTTTTCCAATTTCTTATTTTGCTTTCGAATAAGCTATCAACTCGCAAGCGGCATGTGTGAATTTATAAACACTGAATCGAAAATAGTAACCTTCTATATAAATGAATATCGATCTCATCTGTGATATGCTTTTGATTAAAATTTAAAGACCAAGTTTAGAGCTGGTCGCGATAATAATAAAATAGAAAAGTAATTCGGAGCCATTTTCGCCTTATTTCAGATGACTAAACAGAATATATATACGCAACGTCACTCTGCGACATTATAAGCTTTATGTTAGTCCGAGCTGGCAAAGCTACTGGCCCGTCTGGCGTTGCAAATTAATTAATTAGAGCTCGCGCGCGCAGAGCAGAGCTCTAGTACATTATGAGAGTAAATATACTAGTGTATACTAGCGGGCTGGCGAGCACAAGATGCGGAAAACGTGAGATATACATACACGCGTACAAGCAGAAAATATAGAACATGCGTATATGGATGTCACAAGAGAGAATGGTATAATAGTAGGTGACAGTGCCATTAAGCCCTTGCCCAATTAATTACTTTCGCGGAAGATTCATCATTCTAGGGAGGGAGTAGTGAGTAGCGCACGCGTTTCATAGCTCGTTTCACTTGTATTAATGGCTCCCCAGCCTATGTTCTAGCTGCTCTTGCGCAATTACTAGGCCGGCGCAGAAGTTTTCGATGAAATTTCGATAGGTCCATTAAAATGTATGTTTAATCAAATTTGTCAGCAGTATTTGTAAGTGAGTAAAGACTTGAAAGCACTTCTGAATTTGAATGTAATGTGTGTGTGTATTATTGGTTGCGTGATGATTTAATACAGATTAATTTTAAATCTCATTGAACTCGAAAATACAACTCAAACTACTGTTACGGTTAATCATCTTGAAATTATGCTGATGTGGTTGTTACTGTAATGCAGTGCCCTTCTATCTTATTATTTGAGTCTAGAAATTCTCTGCCAATAAATCTATAAAAACACTCTATTTCATACTTACATAATCTGTTACCACCAAGAAGGCTCACAACCTCAAGCCTATAATTATAACATCATTTATTAACTTATATTTATTATAGTTAAATTTGTCCACATAATTTACTATTTTTTTCTCCATATTTTCTTCGCAGATGGTCATATGATCAATACAAAATGTTCATCGTCGCATAACCGAAGAGCTTTGTGCTGCAAAATGTCAGTCGAATTTGACAGGTTCCTGGAAAGCGGAAAAAAGTAAGTGGCTACTTTCTTTGAAAATATCTATAATTTTAATTATTTTTTCGAATATCAGCTACTATGTTGATACTTATAAGTACCGAATATCCCAGAAATTGCAATAAAGTGTCATTAGAACTTTTTATTTTCAAAAGTATTATCAGCTATTATTTTATGCGGTAATAGAAAGAACATTAATTTTCTGTACAACTTTTTGAATTTTCCCTAATAAAATTTTCTTAATTAGGGCATTCTTTTGATTTATTTTTTTCAAAAAGTAAATAAAATTTTGCTTGAAATAAAATTTAAATTTATATCCTGACAAACTATTATATGAGAAATGACTGAGCGTCGGCTTTTTGTTTCGCTTCGGCTAATTTTCAAAAGTCTAGACAAAAGATAAAGCAGGATCATAAATTTCAAAAATTCATTTATTTATAGGATTTTCTTAGCATTATTTATTATCTGTAACGAGGTCAGTGATAAAAAAAAACAATTCTTTGAATTTTAGTAGAATACACAAAAAATAATCAAAACCTTGTCGGCGTATATTTTTAAACCAATATTCTCCTTATAAATTATTAGCAGAATCTTTACCGATGCACTTGTAGCAAATAGCGAAATACGTTGGCTCGAATAAACTTGAATCAACGAAAGATTAACAACGTGCGATATTTTTTTATTGGCTCTATACATTATGAGCAGCTGACCCTGCAGCACAGCGTGCAAAATTTTAATAGTCCAAATTCTTCGAAAGGAAGATGCCTTTGAATGTAAAAAGAACCAGGTGGGAGGACGAGAAATATAAACTCGTGACATCATTATACCAGTAACCTGTTTCGCGCGCGCAGAAACCCTAAAATCAAAAAATGTAAACATTTTCTACGATTTTTTTTGCTTTGCGATTGCTGCATTTGATTCACAACGCTTTTAACATTCATACATATTTGTTTATCTTTAGACATTGCAAGATGCATAGTTTTCGAGCAAATAAAACTAAATGACTTTTCTTTTGTAACCATTGATTCAGGATCATGACAAATATTTGTCTGTAATGTATAGACACTCACGCATTCTTTTGAGTAGCGATAAAATAGAACCTGTCCAATCTGTAAACATTTTTCAAGATGTTTTGTTAACTCAACGAATTGCTTCTGATAACAATGGAATCCTTGCTATATTTTGACAAAAAAATATATTATATTTTTAAGTTATTGTTTGTGAACTGTTTTCAATAAATAATTTCCATCACTGGCTGGTTTAATTTTTCGGAGCAACTGCATTAGCATTCTACACGTGACTGCAATTTAAATATCGAGATCCGTTTGACCTGCAAATGTTTCGTTTCCGGCATAAAAAGCGAATCGACACGGCATGTAATTAACACCTTGAAAGCATCTCATTAGCACGAATTGCAATTAAAAAAAATTCTCAACACATTTTTACACTTTCTGCGCCACAAAGGTCCAGAATTCAAGACACATCAGCGGTAAAAGTGTTTTGCTCTAACGTAAATTAAATATGCAGCAGTAAAAAATTTATACTTTCGACACCAAAAAACCTGACTCCAGTAAAACAAGCACCTCCAACCTTACGAAGAATTATTCAGTTTTAAATTAATGCGGAACTACGCCACCTGAGCGCCTATTTGCATACCTATACTTATTTCAATCGATTTCTAATGTTTTATCTATCACTTAAAATACTTGAGAATTTGATTATCAGATCAAATAATCATTGATATCCAAAATTTATGATCGCGGATTAGAAAACTCACTTTTTTAAACTTTCAACGACTGCCTCAAGCTTATAATTTCTTCTTTTTTTTTTTTGTCTTTAATTTCGTCTCGTGAACCCGTTTACAACGCCAAGTTATAAATCAGTAATGCGTTTATATTATGCATTCAGCCAGAATCTGGCAAACTATGAATTTAAAAAAATATCCAGTTGCGGTAGCTCGATAATTATATCGTAAATCGGGATTCTGAGTGGCTTGTTGAAAAATTATAACCCCAGGCACATACTTCCTGGCTTTATGACGAAATGGCTGAATTAATTTTTCATTAATACTATCAATTGTACACTTGTTTTAAGCTCCTTAATTTATTTAAATTTAAAACTTTTCAGCTGACTGAACAATTTATTTAATCATTTTATCATTTACAATTTCCAAAAAAATTATAAACTCTTATTTAGCAAGTCAAAAGCTAATTCAATTAATGATTAGCTCTAAATGTGATACCAAATTAACTCCTCAGCAGAATTCTTGACTTGATGACGCTTCAAGTGCTTTATTAAGCTTACAGTAGTAACGAGTAGCAACGTCATTATTACAAGTGTCCGACAGGGTATGATTGATTTTTACCAAGTGCATGATGTATCGTTTATACAACTGCTTACAGCTTGTTGCAATCTAATGTTTAACAAAAAATTTCGTTAAGTTGAGTATTTTTTTTTCCAATTCCAATATTAATGAAAATATTAATGCTAACTTAATTTTTTCAAGAAAACAAGGCTTTTTAAATAATTTCTTTAAATTACTTTTTTAGTTCGAAATTATATTATTCACTTTAATAGTGAATCCTCGTATACGTTCAAAAATCATAGAAACTAAAAACTTTTCCACTATCCATATCGCATGATCTTTTCAAAAACTATCATAATTTTAAAATGTGACGCATAAATTAAAGATTTGACGTACGCAATATAAAGTACATCTCGCACACACATAGGCATCTGCTTCTCGACAGCACATGTCTCAGTGACAAATTTAAAAATCACTTTTATTGCTGCGGGCCTCAAGTCAAAAGACGCCGCGCCAGTCGCTCAATAATTCACGACTAGATAATCCAATTTAGTCATATAACGCGCACGCTTCCAAATTTTGCATTCATAATTGACGCAGAGATTTAGCCGAGCGGCCAGTTGGCTGGCTTCTTGCGCAATCTTATGTGGGACGTAAAAGACCCGAGATTGAAGAAAAGTTATAATTATATTCGTCGTCTTATTATGCGCTCCATTCGTCCTCGTCGACTTTTGAATGTTTTCGTGTGCGAGCCTGCTCGTCAATCAGCAACAGAAGCTTCCAGCATTGAACTTGTCGCGCATTGTTTATCCGATGACGCTGCGGAACACCGGTGCTGTTACCTTCAAAAATTTCAACGGTGGATTGAATGATTGACCAGGCGACTTAGCTGTGACGAATATTTTTCGATGACGCTGATGCTTTTTCGATAATGAAATAAATCGAGGACCTTTGAAATTTCATTCCATCAGAACGCTTATAATAAGTGTCAATCAAAGTTTCATTATGTATATTCTATGAAGTTAATATTTTATTTTCGTTTATTTTCTGCCTCGGATTTTCGTTGATTCTAAAATAAATACTTGCGTGATTGACAGTCTCTCATTAGCAGTATTTATGTGCCATGTATTTTCTGTTGATAAAATGTGATGATAAATCGATTGCATCGTGAATTGAATAACCAGAATTCGTATTTCATCTCTAATTTTAGATCTAATGATTGAAAAAATTGAATATTTGAAGTCTATATATTTTTCATACATTTAAAAAATTTTTAATTTTACAAATAATGATAAATGGTTAAAAAATGCCTGTTGATTTTTTAAGGATTTTCAAGCAAAAAATTATAAATCCGAGTTCGAATACACAAAAGTTTTGTAATGATCGTGTACATGTGTGCTTCTATAATTATGTATACCCCATAAACGTGAAGTCTCCTTTTAACCGAATTCTTTTGTACCTATACTAACAATACTATACAACGAAGAGGTTTCTGAAACAAGAACTTGAACCTTGTATGAAGATTCTCTTGGACAGGTAACAAGTGTTTGTAATCAAAAAAGATCAAAGACTACATTAGACATGAAAATTTTTTTCATTTGGGCAATTATTAATTAATCATTTAATATTCAACACGAACACTTTTATCAAGAAAATACTAAAATCAGGATAATTATAAACATTTTTTAGCGTATTTCCTAAATTGTTAAATAATTTAGAATTAGAATTGTAACTAATTTTTTCAATTGTTTTTTTTCAATCACGTTTTTATTAACAATAAGTGTAACTTGTGGCATAACTAAGTACGCCGTAAAAGTAAGTAGTCGAGTGTTGAAGGGTTCGAATTTTAATGTTCGTACAGTTGTAGCCAACTTATATTCTGGTCAAATTAAATGCCGTAGACGGTCATGCAGCAACTCTAGTACCTCCTTCATGTATACACTTATCACGTTTCGCGTGTGTGTCCTCGAAAAGGATGCGGGCTCTCTTTCTCTCTCTCTCTCTGTCTCGTAGTCCTACGCACTAAGCACTTCTCTCGTTTCCGAAGACCGAATTCGAGCTGTGCCTCGCGTTTTTTTTTCGACGATGTAGCGTATAAAGGTTTAAATGCGTGCGCGTATACACGATCAAGGCCCTTCTGGAATTCGCATACGCGTCTTTTTGTGCTAGACAGTTTTGCGAAAGAAGATCAGTCGCGCGACGAAAGCCAATACACTCAGAATTCGAAATCGAATCGCGTTTGTATGCGCACCTGCAACTCGTTTATTTTCTTTCATTCGATGATGGCTCGAGGTCTTTCGTTTTTCATCGTATAAACGAGAGTACTGGTTATGCAGAACAACTTGACCAGCGGCTAAACCTTTGAACGACTGCTATAATTCTTCGATTATTGTTCAAAATATATACTCTTTGCAAAATGTACCCGCGACAATCTCTGCAGTTTATGTTTTCATAAACTCATGTTTTATAGGCTACTTTTTATCAGAATACATTTTTACGCTTTTTTTAAGTCAATATACATACAAATATGTATTTACTGACGATTTTTAACTTGTTTAATGACACTTATCACTCGGACCAACATAAAATTGAAATGGTTTTTAATATGCATTAGTCGTCATCGAACTGCCTGGTCAATACTAAAAAATGTATTTTTATAGAGTACATTTAAAATTTTTAACAATTTTCGAAACTTCTTTTTGTTTTGAAGTTTCTCCTTACAGTTTTGATTGTAAATAAGAGAAAATGTTAATGTTCTTATAAAAAGGGCACATTGTTTTGTAACTGAACTTGCATATAATTATTTTGTTCGCGCGACTT